ACAGGAGATGAAAAAGAGAGCACAGGCGACGCAGATGAGGTAGAAGGACTCCGCGAATTTGTAGTCCTGGTCCTTGAAGGGAGCGTACAGGGGTGACAGCGCAGTGTCATCCTGGCAGTAGCCCTTCATATATCCATACACAAGAAGGGCCACGCACACCCCAGACGCCGCAAACGCAAGGTCAATCAAGAGCGACACGCCGTAAATAAAACAACATATTCTCTCGTGAAGAAACAGTTGGGCGAAGACAATGCCCACAACGATGAGGCCAACACCAGCTGCACCCACAGCGGTGCCCTCGGAGACCTGGAAAAACAGCTTGTACTGCCCGCACAAGCTCTTACTCACCTTCTGCTCGGTCTCATTGCCATCGGGCAAGATCACCTCATTGTACCATAGCGTCTGCTTCGTCGTCACGAGCTCTTTCTCCTTCTGGAAGACAGGGAAGATGTTGGCACACACAGCACAGGCGGTGGCCAATATAGCCAAAACCAACACCAGTACGCGTAAACAAAACATGAGTCCTTTTTGGCGAATGTGGGAGAGCCTACTTCTTGCCTTGCGCTTGCAACGGAGACACGGAGAGCAGGAGGGGGAGAGAGAGAAGCACTGGCGCCCGCTCTCCTTCGGTGCAGCGAAGAGTCATCAATGCTAGGTAGCACCGGCAGGAAGAGAGAGGGAAGCCCATTGACAGAGTTCATCATCATTAACAGGCACCCAATTTCGGAGAACCAAACACAAACAGAAAAGGAACGGAAAGATAAACATTAGCAACAAAAGAAAATTGTTTTTGTTCCCATAAAAAGGCAACTTGACCTAGGCACAACACTGGAAGAAACTGGAGATGAGAAAGAGAGCACAGGAGGCGCAGATGAGGTAGAAGGACTCCGCGAATTTGTAGTCCTGGTCCTTGAAGGGAGCGTACAGGGGCGACAGCGCAGTGTCATCCTGGCAGTAGCCCTTCATATATCCATACACAAGAAGGGCCACGCACACCCCAGACGCCGCAAAC